CTCTTCTGCAATGAATCCGAGATGGCTTATGGAGTAGTTATCTATGCCAGAACAACTTCAGATGCAGGAATCCACATTATTAGAAGATGTTGGAGGTTAAGGTGGGGGGGGGGTCCATGGTGACTCCCATGTTTTAAGATAGTGAATAGAACATCCGGTAACCAAGCTATGTTTTAACATTGGGTATAGAGTACAATATATTAGGATATCGAACACCAATGGTAAGGTTTTATGGTGAGAGAATTTTAAGAATATCGAAATTCTTTGGTCTTTTGTAAGGAAATGTCTACTTTTTTTGCAAAAATCTCGGCGCGTGTTATCTAGTTTGTAAATATCTCTGGTTAATTGCGTGTAGTTTGTGGTATGAACGTTATGAATTTAGCGTTTTTGTTCATGGTAAGTTAGCGCTAAGAGTTTTTGGATAAAAAATTGGATTTTGAAACAAACACTTTTCAAAAAACTTCAAAAACAGATAAGATTTGTTATAATTCAATCTAATTTTTTATCTACTTTTTTTTTTAAAACATCTACCTGCAAATATGCTGAAACCAACTAAAACGTCAAAAAAAACACGGTTTTTGGAGAAAAAAAAAATGCAAAAATTTCAAGTTTTTGGAAAAAATTGCAAAAATCTCAGCTTTTGGTTAGTGCTTTGTCGCATCAGATCTCTGTGATTGTTTGACAGTAGCAACAAGGTAAAAAAAATTGCATAATTTCAATGAGTTTTGTTTCATGAACATGTTTGTGCAATAACTACACACTCACTGGCGCTCCAGTCTGAGTGTTTTATATAAACCATCTTATACAAAAAACCAGAAAAATAATTAATCCAGATATTCCAAGAAACAAAAAGATACGAATTAATTTTGGTTTTTAGTTGCAAAGGTTAAAGATTTGAGCCAAAAAAGAACTCTTCAAAACTGATTTTTTGACCAAATACCTGATCGTAAAATGTGGTCAGCTTGGAAAAACCATGTCTGAAATTACATAAGTAGAAGACCGATTTAGGATGATACTTGAGAGAAGGCGAGCCGAGTCAGAAGAAAAAAGCATGGATGAAACTCTCAGTGAAACAGGAGAGGAAATGGAAGTGGGGAACACGCCTGTGTTACAGGAGCCATAATGTGGTCAATTTCGACAGAAACTTTCAAAGTGAAAAATTTAAAAATCAACTCCCCAAAAAGGACAAGGACGCGTTTCAACCATGACCAAGAAATTTCCGGACAAAAAACATCAAGAATTTCACCAGAAATTGTTCAATCCATAGAAAACACAAAACGGATTCCACCCAGCATCTTTTGGTCACCTAAATTAAACTAAAACAAAAAAAAAGGATAGGGAATACCAATGGTAAGGTTTTATGGTGAGGGAATGGTAAGAAAATTGAAATTCTTTGGATTTTGTGTGAAAATGTCTAGTTTTTTTTGCAAAAATCTCGGCGCGTGTTATCTAGTTTGTAAATATCACTGATTAATTGCGTGTAGTTTTTGGATTGAAGGTTATGTAATTAGTGTTTTGGTTCATGGTAAGTTTGTGCTAAGAGTTTTTGGACAAAAACCTGGATTTTTCATCAAACAATTTTTAAACAACTTCAAAAACAGATAAGATTTATTATAATTCAACTTAATTTATTATATACTCTTACTTTTTGAAACATCTACCTGAAACTCTGCTGAAACTGACTCAAACTTCGAAAAAAAAACCAAGGTTTTTGGAAAAATAATTGCAAAAACTTTGATTTTTTGGAAAAAGTTGCGGAAATCTCAGGTTTTGGTTAATTTTTTGACGTATCTGATCTTATTGTAAAATTTCATCGTTATATTACGTGCAGAGTTTAAAATTAAGTTCAAGTTGTATTTTAATTGGAATCATGTTGAGACAATGATAAAAAATTTTGAAGAAAAAAAAGATGTATATGAATTTTTCCTTAATTTTCAAACAAATTATTAAAATATCCCAAATCGCACTCTGTCAACTCCGGACGGTTGAAAAAGGCTGAAAAAGAAAACAAAGAGCAACAAAACTTTGTCAGTTGCATTTATCAAGATTGCTTCAACGCGACTACACATGAAAATGAGTCTAAAATGAGTTTTTTATCTTTTGTGCCCAATTTAACCAATCCGAGGGGGATTTGGAATGGGATGACCATGTTGGGGCACTTATAGCGAACAATTTCCAACACTGGATGGATAGCTTAAAACTTTTGTCTTCCCCGCTAGAACCTCGTTACTTGGCCAAGGACAGCTTTCAGCAAGTCTATCTTCATCTCTTCTGCGATGAATCCGAGATGGCTTATGGAGTAGTTATCTATGCCAGAACAACTTCAGATGCAGGAATCCACATTATAAGAAGATGTTGGAGGTTAAGTGGGGGGGGGGGGGTGTCCGTGGTGACCCCCATGTTTTAAGATAGTGAATAGAACATCCGGTCACCAAGCTATGTTTTAACATTGGGTATAGACTACAATATATTAGGATAAAGAACACCAATGGTAAGGTTTTATGGTGAGAGAATTTTAAGAATATCGAAATTCTTTGGATTTTGTAAAGAAATGTCTACTTTTTTGCAAAAATCTCGGCGCGTGTTATCTAGTTTGTAAATATCTCTGGTTAATTGCGTGTAGTTTGTGAATTGAACGTTATGAATTTAGTGTTTTTGTTCATGGTAAGTTAGCGCTAAGAATTTTTGGACAAAAAATTGGATTTTGAATCAAACACTTTTCAAATATTTCAAAAACAGATAAGATTTGTTATAATTCAATCTAATTTTCTATATACTCTTTTTTTTTAAACATCTACCTGAAAATATGCTGAAACCTACTAAAACGTCGAAAAAAAACACGGTTTTTGGAGAAAAAAATGCAAAAATTTCAAGTTTTTGGAAAAAATTGCAAAAATCTCAGCTTTTGGTTAGTGCTTTGTCGCATCAGATCTAATCTAGTTGTAAAGGGTCCTTGATTCATTCTGTGCAGAATTGAGAATAAAGCCCAAATTGTATTTTAATTGGACTCATGTTGAGACAATGATACAAAATTTTTCCACAATTTTCACTCAAAATATTAAATTTTAAATTGAGCTCAGAACCAAGTTATATTTAAGTCAGAGATTATAAAGCTCTCAGCACTAAAAAGAAAGCTCACAATAGCTGAAAACCGACACGATCCTTGGCTGGACAGTCTCAGGTGTCGCTGATACCGACCACACAGTCACAACACGAATACACTCGCCATGATATGGATTAAACTTTTTTGACAGCCACTCCACCACATTTAACAGATTCTGGGAAGTTGAAGATATTCCTCCGTCTCCAGAATCCCAACACTAATCCAACGAACTCGAGTGTATCCGACATTTCGATCAAATTAAGACACATGAACCAGACTGACAAGCTACGGTGAGGTTGCAATCAACAAATCAGAGGGGTTCTATGACAAAATCAAGAAGTATTTTGGAAGTAATCTCTCAACAGCAAGCTTGTCATGAGCGATATACCCGACAATTTGCAGGAAAACAAGGAGTTAGTTTTAGCAGAAAATGACCACAGCGTCAAAACTTGGCATCCAGTTTCTGATTGTTTCCAGTACCGGTGTATGGATAAATTGGACTCAGTGAAGCCTATAGGCATGCCCCAAGGCACTGTGAACCTCATCAAGCCAGTAAAAGTCTCGAGTGCTTATTTTGAAGCAATTCCAATGTTGCCGAAAAAGTCAAAAATTGGGCCGAGAGCGGCCCCCCAGATGACAAGGAAAGAGGAACCTCTGGAAACCAGGACCTGAAGCATTCGAACTCCAGCAGATTTCCAATGATTCGCAGAGATTTTTGCCAATGATCAAATTAAATAAAAACAGATTTCACGAGGTCCCAAATCACACTCTGGTCAAATCCGGACGCTTGAAAAAGGCTGAAAAAGAAAACAAAACGCAACCAAACCTTGACAGTTGCATTTACTATGATTGCTTCAACGCGACCATACATGAAACTGAGTCAAAAAATTTTTTCATCTTTTGAGGTCAATTTAACCAAAAAATGGCCATTTTTGGACATAGTTTTTTTGACCAAAAAAATCAAAAATTGAGAGCAAACCGGCTATCAGCACACTTCAAAGGCTTGTCCCAGTGTCAGGAATCATCTAGATGCCTCATACAAAACCATTTTTGCAAAAATCAAGCCGGTGTTACAGGAGCCATAATGTGGTCAATTTCGACAGAAACTTTCAAAGTGAAAAATTTAAAAATCAACTCCCCAAAAAGGACAAGGACGCGTTTCAACCATGACCAAGAAATTTCCGGACAAAAAACATCAAGAATTTCACCAGAAATTGTTCAATGCATAGAAAACACAAAACGGATTCCACTCAGCATCTTTTGGTCACCTAAATTAAACTAAAACAAAAAAAAAGGATAGGGAATACCAATGGTAAGGTTTTATGGTGAGGGAATGGTAAGAAAATCGAAATTCTTTGGATTTTGTGTGAAAATGTCTAGTTTTTTTTGCAAAAATCTCGGCGCGTGTTATCTAGTTTGTAAATATCACTGATTAATTGCGTGTAGTTTTTGGATTGAAGGTTATGTAATTAGTGTTTTTGTTCATGGTAAGTTAGCGCTAAGAATTTTTGGACAAAAAATTGGATTTTGAATCAAACACTTTTCAAATATTTCAAAAACAGATAAGATTTGTTATAATTCAATCTAATTTTCTATATACTCTTTTTTTTTAAACATCTACCTGAAAATATGCTGAAATTGACTCAAAATTCGAAAAAAAACCAAGGTTTTTGGAAAAATAATTGCAAAAATTTTGGTTTTTTGGAAAAGGTTGCGGAAATCTCAGGTTTTGGTTAATTTGTTGACGTATCTGATCTTATTGTAAAGTTTCATCGTTATATTACGTGCAGAGCTTAAAATTAAGTTCAAGTTGTATTTTAATTGGAATCATGTTGAGACAATGATACAAAACTTTGAAGAAAAAAAAGATATAGCCTAATTGTTGTGCCCTCAGCCTAATTGTTGTGATAAACTTATTAAATAGAGAGTGATGAAACACTAGTTGCCATTCTTTGGGCACTGACTACTAACTTCAGCATATTATCCTTGACACCAACAGCACCATTATTCCTGGCATTTTCCTGGCTTCACACAATGTCAACACCAATGCTTCTGATGCTACCCGACGACTTCACGAAACTCAATCCCGAACAAAAAGATAAGTACTACGTTCAAATATATAACCTTGTCAATGTACTAGCAACATCCAGTAATCCTCCAAACAGTAATCAAAACGCAAAAGGACTCAGAGCACCTATTGATTTTGCTGCCAAAGTAATCCCCACTGATACTCAAAACTTGATTATTGGTTCGAGTTTTTTAGCGGAGTTTGACACGAAGGAGCTGCCCAAAGACGTGGCCGTTCATTCTTACCGCGGGTCATTTTGCAGCGAGAAACAATCAGTTGTGAAAAAGTACGACGATACTGAGCTGAAATCAGTAACCTTCCAGGACGGCACCAATTCACTCACAAGGGAACTACACAAACCTGTAGATGATATATTTGAAACTTTTTGCGCCACCACTAGTGAAATTGAGACAAAGTTTTCACCTACAATAATCAATATATGCCAAGTCCCGCCTGTGAAATCGGGACCCGATTCTGTAAGTGGTAAACGTATAACTGAATTCAACAGCCTTAATGCTCATAAATTTAAAAAAAAAAAGTATCAAATTGTTCCTATATACGATAAAATTGTCAGCATAAACGACTATCAGTCAATCTTCTTTGATGAAGTACATTTGATGCGTTCTGTTAGTACTTTAAAAAATGCAATCATGGAAAAGGTGCTACCATTATCCAGCTTATCACCTCGAGTTGTTTCTCCGAATACTTCCAACTCTAGGGGCCCAGCGCACCCTCAGAGGAATCGTATGAAACCTGGTTCAAGCCAAGTCTCGTGGGGCCCCGAGCACCCAAAGAGTCTTGCGAGCCATGGTTTCAGCAACAATCAAACCTACAATTATATGAATACCAATCGTAGTAATTATGACTTACGCCATAATAGATACTATCCATACTAATGCTGTTTTAGTAGTCTATTACCCAATGATCTGGATCTATCAAACTTATGTTTAGCCAATGGCTTTTAAAGACTCTCCTTATCTTCTCCCTTTTAACTAGCATTCCCATTAAGTACAATGAACCCAACAGCACCGCACTACTCAAAACTAGAAACATGACGTCTAACCGCCACTTTAGATTCACAGCTGGCATCTATTGCGCAGTTGTGATATTAACCTTTCAGATTGGAATATTGGAAATCCTGCTTCTTCAATGTGGGGAAATCGAAGTCAATCCAGGTCCCGCACTTTCATATGAAATCCTGGCAAACAAAGCAAAGGAACACCACAACCTCCTCAAATATATAACTCTAATTTGTAGAAGCATAAAGAACAAACACATGGAAATGCGTTTCTTGTCAGAAATAGTTGACTCAAACACAATTATCGATCTTACGGAAACCTGGCTTGACGAAACATGCGATCATCAAACTTATTCATTCTGCAAAACAACCCATGAAATTTTTAGATGCGACCGTAACAAAAAATGCACTGGTCAACACGCAGGTGGTGGTACTCTTATTATTCCGAAAAAATTTAACCCTAAGATTCGAGAAGATTTAAATTATCTACGTCCCTCCCATTTTGAAGGACTCTGGGTGGAATATAGCCCAATCATCTCAAAAAAATCAAAAAGACATAATTGCTATTGCCTACAATCCACACAAACAATTCAAGGAAATTTTTATAGAAGATACACTAAAGGGTATCGATTACGCTGCCTCCGAAGAGCGAGATGTTACGATTTTGGGAGATTTCAATATTAACTACTTGAATAAACATGAAGCTAATTTTCTCAGCGATTCTATTAAACCATACAATTTGTCAATAACCAATAAGTCGATACCGACATACAACTCTAAAAACAGCCAATCCATTTTAGATAACATTATAGCAACCAAATCTCTTTGTAAAGAAACTATTGTAGCAGAACCACCTATAAACACGGACCATTTAATAACAATGTGTATTAGCAAACTAAAACGATTCGAAAAAGCCATTCCAATTCGAACTTTTCGCTTCAACAAAACCAATTATTGTAAAAATAGGTTCTGCGAGGAACTTAAACAGAGTCCATGGTTTCTCGTCTACCAAGAAAACGATATCTCTAAAATGTTAATAAAATTTGAAGATAGTTTCTCGCATGCCCTAAACGCTCACGCACCACTAGAGCAGAAGTATATCCGAAATAAACCGCAGCTACAGCTGTCTGGTAAAGTACTTAACTCAGTCAATAGACCTTTAAAACAGGAAAAAGAAAATCCTCTAAAGGCATATCAATTATCAAGAACAGATGCCAATTTTGAAAACTATAAACGAATAAGAAATAAATACAACAACCATCTAAAACATTTATACAAGAAAGAGAAAACAGCTCAATTCAAAATGCTTGACTGTCCAAAAAAACAATGGAATTTCATAAACTCTATCAGGAACACCATGAAACAGTCAACGCAAATAGGTGATCTACGGAATTCGTTTGGCGACACTATAATTGAAAATAAGAAGAAAGCAAATTTCCTTAACTACAGGTTCTCAACATTAGGAGAATACAAAAACGCAGATCCTCTCATAGATGTACCAACTGAGTACAGTGTACACAGCAAAACAAATAGGCACTTTCAATTCAGGTTCATAACTCACAAATAAATGAAAGATGCATTTTTATTACTTCCCTTAAACAAGCCATTAGGACCAAGCAAAATCCCTGCTTGGGCTCTAAAAGACAGCATTAATACTGTAAACCCAATTCTTACGATGATTATCAATGAATGCATCTCGAAATCCGTATTATTCCCATATACCTTAAAAAAGGCACACGTTTTTCCCATATTCAAAAAAGGCGACTCGACAGATCCAGTAAATTATCGTCCAATTTCTATTACACCCACTCTATTGAAGTTGTTTGAAAAAATTTTTTCATCCCAAATTCACGAATTCTTAGCAAATTCCAATATTCTAAATCCAAAACAATTTGGCTTTCGTCCAGGTTATTCAACTAATGATGCTCTTTTATACACAACAGAAAAAATCAGATTCCATCTCGATAAAAAATAACATAGCAGCGGCTGCATTTCTTGATTTATCTAAAGCATTTGATTCACTCTCTCATTCAGTCCTTGAAAGGAAACTAAGTCACATTGGCTTTGAACAGTCAGCAACAACTCTTATTAAGTCATTTCTAGAAAACAGACAGCAATTGACAATAGTAAACGGCGAACACTCAGATTGGCTTAAATTAGAGCAAGGTGTTCCCCAAGGTACTGTACTAGGACCACTGCTGTTCAACTTGTATGTAAATGACTTACCACAAACAATAGACAAATCATGTACGTTAGTACAATATGCCGACGACACGACTCTGCTTAGTTTTCATTCAGATCCCGAAACAGCAACAAAGAGCATTGAAAACAATTTCAATAAAATTCTCTTGTATTTTCACTTAAATCGATTAATGATTAATGTAGACAAAACTCAGTTCATTGTATTTTCTGCACCGTCGAAAAAGAAACTAACTGAAAATCTTTCATTGAAAGTTGGAAACTATCAAGTTAATTTAACAGAGACAGCTAAATTTCTCGGCGTCAATTTTGACATAAGCTTAACATTCGACAAAGAAATTAACAAAATTTTACAAAAAATGGCTACAGTAATCCAAACGATAAAATGCATCCGTGACGAAATCCCTCTGCGTACTAGAATTCTCCTGTTAAATACTCTTGTACTGAGCCATTTGCACTATCCATGCATGCTCTTAAACGGATGTACGCAAGATAATATTGAGAAACTCGAAAAACAAATAAAATGGGGAATCAGGATAATAATGAATATAAGCAAACGAGATTCCGTTACACTTCTAAGGAAACAGCACAAAATTCCTACTGCTCGGAATATTATCGAGTACCGATCAGCACACTACCTTCACAGGTTATGCCGAAACGATGCCCCAGCTTTCACGCATATAAGATTCCCAAATTCTGAATTCCGCTATAACTATCGAACTGGAACATTACTGTTCCCTTTAACATGTAAAACTGATTTCCTTCGTAAGTCTTTCTTATTTACATCAATCAGGAACCTTAACACAATAATCCGAACCTTGTTTAATCGAAAATTGCCGTACACATTGACAAAAACTCTGATTAAAAATTTCATCAAAGGAAAAGATGACACCCTGTTACCCAATAAGGAGAGTCTTTCCGTATCCAAGGACATTTATTTTGTTAAATCAATTATTTGATTCAACCTCGTAGTAATTTATGTTTTTTCTTGTTATGTTATATAACCATTGCGTAATATTGTACACTAGATTCTTATACAATCAGTTCTGCAACTGCATAAGTATATTGAAACAATAAAGTGTCCCCCCCTCTCTCTCATATATGAATTTTTCCTTAATTTTCAAACTAATTATTAAAATATGATAGAATTTACCCTAATTATAGCTCAGAACCAGGTTATATATAGTTCTGAATACCAGCAGTAAAGATCATAATAGTTTCAAATCTACTGAAACTTTGAAAAAATTAAATTTTTTGGAAAAAAATTGCAGAAATCTCAGCTTTTGGTTAGTGTTTTGTCGCATCTAATCTAGTTGTAAATTATCCTTATTTCATTCTGTGCAGAGCTTAAAATTAAGCCCAAATTGCATTTTAATTGGATTCATGTTGAGACAATGATGCAAAAGTTTGATAAAAAAATATGGATTTTTCCAAAATTTTCACTCAAAATATTAAATTTTAAATTGAGCTCAGAACCATGTTATATTTAATTCATAGATTATATAAAGCTCTCAACCATAAAAAGAAAGCTCACAAAAGCCGAATACTGACACAATCCTTGGCTGGACAGTCTCAGGTGTCGCTGATACCGATCACACAGTCACAACACGAATACACTCGTCAGGATATGGAATAAACTT